AAAACATTCAAGTTTTAAATAAATAAATCGATTAGAAAATTATTTTCCAGCCAACTTGTGGTCTTTCTTGATTTTTCTGATAATAAGATATTCCTCCAAGATTTAGTTCAATCTTAATCAAATTAAATTTTTTAATTAATGAGCTTTAAGCGCTGTCCGTGGAATTTTGCATGGCCTACGAGTATTTGAACCCCAACCCCTTCTTCAAACTGGCTCGGACGTGTCATCGGTCCACCTCTATCGCTCCCAGCTCCAGATGGCAGCCGCTGTACTACCGCGGACACGTACATCGACATTAAATGACATTTTATTGAACAGCATCGACAGGGGTACAGCATAACCAGAACCAGTACCCTCCCCCATCCAATGCGTACCACCCCCCTGTGTCACCGCCAGTTTACCTTTTGATGGAGTTGTCAACTGTCGGGGCGGAACGAGTCTCTGTGTCGATGACACGTTTTGCCAACGCATCATACAACCTTGATGATGCCAAAATGAATGCGTTCTGCCATAACGGAAATGGAATAAACCCCCCTCAAAAGCCTCACCTCACTCCAATCAAAATGGCGATTTGGAGACACAGACAAAGAGAGAGAGGGAGAGGAAGATAGTAGATGAGCGAGCTAGAAACATTCGCAAATGGCTGACAAATATGGCAATGCGACGCGTCGCAGCAACAATTGAAACCGTTTTTGTTCAAATTTGCAGAAGAATTGACTGCTGCTGGGAGATTTGATGAGGTGAGGGGAGGTTAGGAGGAATTGACGGCCACAAGTGCTAAAGGATATTGGTTTTTGGGGAAAAGCATTGGTCTATTGACATTTCGAATACGTTCACAGCTCTTAATTAAAGTGTAATTTTCAATTTTGAACGTGAGGCAGACAAAGCAAAGTTTTTCCAATGGATGTGCTGGTTTCCTTTACGTAATTTTCCAGGAGTGGTTGATGGTATTGTTACGAACGTGAAAGAGTGTTCAGTATATGGAGATTATGGAGCAAAAGCATGCCCTTTTATATTCGATGCTTGGGTGAAACTTTAGAAACTTAGAAATATATCATTTACAAAACGAACTTCAACATACACACATCTCAGATGGAGAACACTAAAAAGAAATGTGCAAAAAAGCCCCTCAAGAAGCAAAAAAAGGAGGCAACGATTGGCAATGTGAAGGGAATCCAGAAAAAACCAAACTCTTCGATTTTCCCAAAGAAGCAACAAAATGTGCAGCCAGAAACTAAGGACCTGAGTAAGACCACGTCGGAAAATATCACCAAGAAGGGGGTCCAACACAACTCATTCACGATGCTGTACCCCAAGGAGCCGAAAGAACTGACTATAACGGTGGCAAAAGAGGTTAAAAAAACCCCGGTTCGCAGTCCAAAGTATTTGGATAGAACCAAGAAAAAACAAGTTCCCATCGCAAAGGTTCAAGCAAAGTGGAAGTGATAAGCAATTTCAAGAAACTAAGCAATTTTTAAAAGGCTAGGACTTTGAGGAAATCATTTGTGAATCATTTTAGTGAACGGCATATCCCCTGTAGGGGTATAATAAAAGCATTTCTGTTTAGTTTATAGGATCATTGGATTATCCTTCATATTATACCTTCAATTCGCCCTAAGCCTTAATTACCATTCATAATTCCATTTCCCACTTTTAATGGGTGCTCCTTTCAGCCAGCACCCACTTAGCTGTGGTTAGAGCGAACCCCCTCAATCCAGACAATCGTTGAACCCATAAACTAGAGCAATGCCTGCCGCATTGTTGGGCTTTGGCCAGGACCCATGTACTATATGGAATCACATGTTTATCCATAGAAAATAATACATACTGACCACGAAAATCGACCAATTGAATTCAATTATGTGACACATACATACATTCATATGTACAGCCGTACAGGTCGTTGAGTCAATGATGTGGTAAATTATTCACAACAAATTGACAACTGCTTCGGGGTTAAATTATTTCTGGAACAATTAAGTGGAAAACTAGCAATCTGCCATCTGAATGTTTCGTGCTTGACTTTTAATAGAACTTTGGGTCGTAGGAAAAGTGTGGCGTTGAATGAAAATACTATTTCCAGCACTTTTCATTATTTATGAAAACCCAGCAAACCAAACACATGTCAGGCAGTCGGGGGCCAAAAGCCACGCAAAGGCAAGCCCAGAGCCAATTCAAGTCAGGCCAGGGCCAGGCAAGACCACCACCCCGTTTCCCCCTTTTTGTGTGGCTTGGCATCATGCAAGCTTAGAAAGAGATGGAGAATAAGGAGATAGAAAGAGACGGAGAGGGATATTGCCAGGCGCAAACGCACTAAGTGCAGACGTGTCGGATCCCCTTGGAGTGCAACTGGAGAGCCAATAAACTGGGTTCCTGTCTCAGCAGATTTTGATTTAACTAAAATTAAAATCAGCTGCGTGTCCCCGCTCGCTTCCCTAGTCACCCTCCCACCACCCACCACCTCTTTTTAACTGCATGTCCTTGTCGACTAAGTGACCGTTTCCCACACACATGTCAGTTTATATTATCCGAGCGCATTTATCTCGCATTGGCAATTGGATTTGTAATGTGACCAAAGCCAGACAAAACGACAGGATAACAAAGCAATGGCAATGGTCATTGAAAAGGACAATTGTGTATTTGTGTGCGTGTGTGTGAGACATGTCGTGTGCATCGTGAAGTCTTGATGGACAGCTCGACAGTGGTACAGTTGTACGTTTGTGCGCTTAAGATTACGCCATGACCATTTTCGCTGGAGTACCGATATTATTCATTTGCAATGGTTTCTGATTGAACAGTTCTTAAGCACTGCGTTTTAAATGAAATTAAGTTATTTAGGGTGCAGATTTAATAAGGGTAATGCGAAGCTAAGAGCCTCATTGTTCTTATTAGCTAGATGGGATAATTTGTATATTTTATTTAATTGCTTACATATTATAAATTAAAATTTTTCAGGTAGCTTCAGATGGACTTTATTTTATGGTTCCTACGCAATTTTTTTAAAGGTATAGTTCAGGCTTGACCTTCACCTATAAAGGAAACTTTCTCGAAGAAGTTGAAGTAAAGCTGAACATTGCGTTTAAAATACTCAAATTCTATTCCATTTCAGCTGAAAGGTTTCCCCTAGCTCTACTCTAAATAGATTTCCCTCTACTTCAGCTAAAGATTTATGGCACAACCTTAACCGCAGCCCATCAGACACACTCCTTGGTATTGCGGGGAGAGTATCCCCCACCCAAGTTGTAACCCCACTGGAAGTGTACGGATATAGTATATATCAATGCCTCAAAACCAAACTAGTACACATCATTACCATTACCGGCAAACGGGAACGGCTTCAGCTCCTCGACTCAACGCACAAGTATCCCCAGACAAAAATGCGAAAACGCAAAGTTAAATGCGTCGATGGTGCGATGGTGTTGCCGACACTAGACACTCCCAAGCTGGGGCAAGGACAATTGAAGTGCACACACGGCACGGCACCGTGGCAAACTGGAGAGAGTCGTGAAGCACTCAGTTATATTGTCCGACCGACTGACTGACACACACTGACAAACACGGCGAAACAACCGCACCCAAAGTGCTTGCCCTGGCAGTGCATAGATAACAAACGAGTGCAAGGATAACGAGGATACACGGCAAGGACTACCACTACGGAAGTAACGCGAAAAATGGAGCAACAGTAAAAGCAGCGATAGACATTGAAATATTGAAATACAATTGGTTTAGGATCTGCTTTTCCCCCAGAAGGCAGACCGGATGGCACTTAAGGAGGGACCCACAGCCACAGCCCAAAATGGAGGTGAAGGATATGGGATAAGAGGGTTTGCGGCAACTTTGACTTAAAGTTTGGAGAGTTGATTTAAATAACGCACATCAAATATTAGATATTAGATTATAAGCTCAATTCTCAGACAAAAGATCAAGCAAATTAATGGCGATAGTCAGCAGCAGGTGACTCGAAAAACTGGTTAAACCACCCATTGAAGTGCCACCAAGGTCCTCCAGGTTGTCCTTGGTCTAAGGTAGTTAAATTGCGCGTCAGTGTCAGCGGCAGAATTGAAATCCTTTTCCCTTGCAGGCACTTTTCCTCATCCTCTTACAAACACTGCTGCCTCCTTCTCCACCGATGAACACACTGCTCCTGCGTCAATCACGAAGCGTTTTCCAGCATTGAGTGGGACACGTTTTCATGGAACTTTTCCAGCTGCGCCGAAAAGTTCGCCACAAACAAGGCGACACATGACACGTACTCGACTTGACTCGACTTGAAGCTACACTCCTCGTCTCGACAAAGCTTCGTACCCATCCAAACCACCATCCTAGCGCCATTCCCACCCGAACCCCTCCTAGTCACGGGGATTATTTTTAGTTTTTGTCAGTGTTTTAAAGTTTAAAGCTCTTTTGTGGCATATTTGCATATTAAGTGGCATGCGTTGGAGGGCTAGAGGACAAAGGCAGTGGAGGCACTAGAGAGCCTTTTGAGGGGCGGGAGCAGGTGTTGATGTTGTTAGTTTTGCCTAGGCTTACGCTTGAGCCATCTCTCTAACCCACACGGAAACCGTTTTCGGGCCAAGTGGAAAATTTCAACCAGAACAGCAAACTACGTCAGATCGAAGCATTGAATACTCTAGCAGACTTTCGAAGGCATCGTTTAAGTTCTAGTTAATACAAAATTATTATTCAATATAATATGGCAAAAAAAAAAAAAACCTAATGTGCTTAGCCGAAGGCACACAATATCCTTCTATGTCCTGCAAACTTCTCAACGAAGTCTCAACACCCTCTCCAAGTGTATAAAAATCACTGCTGTCAGCATTAGGATTACCTTTCGCTAGCTGTCGTCCCTGTGCGAGTGTGGGGAGGTTTTAGATGGTTTAGGGTTCCGTTCCTTGTCTGTTCAGCCTGCCAAAAGGTTTCAAGTGCTCCTCCGTTCTGTGTTAAGCTCAAACGAGGCTGATAAGTCAAATTAGCACAGATTGATGAAAACTGTTGTCGCTTTGGAGGATTTGCTTTACATTTACAATACATTTCGAGGAACATTGAGCAACTACAGCTAAGACATTTACGAATACTCAGTTAACATTTATCACTTGTCAGGTAATACAAATCGGTTTCGGGGATCATCCCGTTGTAGCTTTCTTCTTCCACAGAAATTGTCCAAGTATTTCTTCGCCCCTAGACACCCGTAGGCTCCCTAGGTGCTCTTCATCAGTTGCTCCACGCGCAGGCTGGTGGTCTTGACCAGGGCTTCCGTGGGATTGGAGCAGCCATTGATCACTCCATCGACGCAGGCTCGTACTGTAACCCGGTAGAAGGACTCTGGTTTGAGTTGATTTAGGTAATAGTAATGCTGAGTGCCAGGCAATTCGATGCCATTCATCTCCTCCTCGACAGTGCATTTCTCCTCCACCCTCTGGCCCACAGAGGCATGGGCATCCTGGCACTTTTTCACGGCATGAGGGATCTGTAAACTGCTGATATCCACATCCTGGACGGCCCGTTGCCGGTTCTCACTAAAGTTACGATATAGTTCGTATTGGAGGGCAGCCAGCTTTTCCTGAGTGATGGTTAGATTGGTGGGCGATGGAGTGGTTGTTGCTGGGTTCGATCGTTGTTCTTTCTTCTTGCCAGCCTTGAGATCATCAAAGTCAATTACTTTCTCAAACTTATCTTTCTTGGGCTGTTCCTGGCGCCGTCTAAAGAGAACAACAAAGGTAATCCTCTTATAGATTTGAATTAATTTAGGAAAAAACCTACGAAACATAGATTAAATTGGGCAAGGCGTCTTCGTAGGTGATCTGCTCCTTGTTGTAGTAATCCTCGTCGTCTGGCTGTGGGCCCGAATCGTAGGACGTCACATCATCGCACTGACAATCCAAGTAGCTCACATTAGTAGGCCTCGGATTCAAATAGTTTTTTCCCTGCTCTGCTTGAGTGAGATTGTGAGGCTCATAGGTCACATAGTATTTGTTGATGATGCCGTTTGGACGACGTGGAGGCCACCAATGAAGCAGCTGTCATATAACAAAAAAAGAGCATAAATAGGCAGAGATTCAAAGTTTTATATATCCTTACAATCTGTGTACTGAGTTCCGAACTGCCATAAATCCTTGCCACGGGACTGGGTTTGTCGGGCAACGTTTTAAAGTAGAAGATTTTTGAATACGCATCAATCTGCATATGATAGTCGGTTCGTGTTAGAGTCTTTACGAAAAGTGCATACTGGGTAAAGGGCTTAAGGCCGGAAATCACATGACGACGACTCTTGGTGGCCGAGACATCCATGAGCCAACTGCAAAACGATGTAAACTTGGGATAAATTTTTAAATTTTTCTAGACCCTCACTCACTTATCGTGCCCGCAACCATGTCGTCCATCGTACATGGTCACATTGCGTTGGGGGGCTTCCTTATAGTAGTAGGAATATCCAATCAATGTCTCCATGCCCTCCCAGTCCATATAGTCCAAGATAATGCGTACTGCGGTGGCACTCAAATCGTCAACAACTGGATTCAAGGTCCGCACTGCATCGCCACAGATGATGCGCTCGCCATTTGAGTTAGGAGAGACATCTGCCACTGATATCTGTTGAACACTCTTCAGCGAAGGCTCCAGCTGTAGAATCTTTTCATGGCAGAGGCGGGGGTTCAGGTGAAAGAAGATAGAGCCACGTTGAACGAGCACCTGATGATTGGGTGGCCAAATATTCTCCAGGTGATGGTTGTTTACCACAAAGAGAGCATATCTGGAAGTGAATACAATAGAATAAAAAAGTTCAGTCAAAGTTTTAGTCACTTACTTGTTTTCAATCAGCTGATCACCTCGTATTAAATCCAAATTCTGTAGAAACGACAAAGACATCAGCTGGGCAGAGTGTAAGACTTTCAGATAGCCAGTGATTTCCTTGAGACTCCCCAATGACTGCTCCAAAGAAGCCACAATTTTCTCTAAAATGAAAAATTAGCTCAAAATAAATTCATCTAATAAAAAAACTCACCCTTTATGTTGGTTAATTCGATGATTAGTGATCCATTGATGGTCACACAGTCTTGTAAACGTTCCAGGTCCGCCCCACTCTTCACATGGAACACACCCTTACACTCCACCTGACAATTGGCCAATCCATTTGGATCCCGCACTTCCTTCTGATTGGGGGGACATTTTTCCGCACAGCGATATCCGCGAGTGAGCGGTATCATACCCAACTGACGGCACTCCTTATGGCTGATGCACTGCCTCTTATGTAATTCGTAGCTAATCACGCACTGATCTACACATTTTCCCTTACTCTGATATTTGGCACACAGCGTACAGTTCTGATCCGAGCATTCCGTGACGCAACTATGCTGGCAACAGTTTCCCGCATTGTCGCACCCATTAAGACCACAGGCCACCGGACAGCCCTCGAGGCGGGGCGGAGTAGGTCGGATCTGGGTGGAGTTCATGTTCCAGCAAAAATCAGAGATGTTTATGCGGAAGGCATAGTCAGCTGCCAAGCCTCCACACACTGGACAATGACTGGGAGGTTTGTTGTGCTGCAAAGATACACCGATATGCATTCAAAACCTTTCTATAATAAGTGCCTTTTGTTACCTTGAGGGAAAAATGCTGCTGGCTCCTATTGCCCAGGAGGTGCATCCAGTCCACGGTCTCCACGAAGCACAGCATCGGATTCGTTTCGATGCGAATGAAACCGTTTTGAATGCGCAACAGCTCGACCAAGCCCAGTTCTCGCAGATTCCGATTCTCGTATACGACGAGGGCATATTGATCGAAAAGCAAGGCCTGACCCCGAATGATGCGCAACTTGGGAAATATCGCCTCCAGGGTGAGCAGCCCCGCGCACCGATACACCATCAGATAGTCGCTAATCTCCGTGACGTTGCTCGCGAGCAGTTGCAGGCTTGTATTGCCCGCCGCAGGCAGGTCCACATAGGCAATCCGTACGTGTCCGACCACGTGGGTACAGTTTTGGAGTTTCTGAAAGTCGGCGACCTTGTTCAGCTCCAGGGAGCTGCAAATGGTGTCGGATCTGGCCAGAACCGGCCACAGTGAGAACCAGAGCAGTAGCGGCAGTTGCCTCATGGCTGCCACCTGACACTTTCAATTGACAGCACTTGACCCCGGCCGCCCGATCGATGAGTAGAAGGGGTGGGAGGTAGGGAGTCAGCAATTAACGCCCGCTTGAATGTCAATGTCGTTCTTTCTGGATGTGTTATTTCTGGCGATCTCTAGATAGTTCTCGACTCGCTCACTGGATCGCGTTCCGTTGCGGCGAACGCTTCGATTTTAACTGATTTACCCGGCAGCAGCGACAGCGGCCTCTCCATATTCGATCGCTTCAATTAGCTTAAGCATTGCTTCTTCTTCCCCTTTTCGTTTTTATACCCTAACAGATAGCGTGATGATTTTGTCGAGATGTTTGCAGTGCTGTGAAGGCACTGTCTCTCGGATCTGTTCTAAGGGAAAATAATCCATCTGACAGGCCTCTTTCTCGTAAGCAAGCAGTACTCTTCCATAGGAAGAGATAAACTTTAATTCTTCACAAAATCACTGTACGACGATATGAACCACATACCTGCCAGGGTATCAAAAACGTCGGCCGCTGAATCCACCTCTTTCATGTTATTGTTTTTTCTCTTCGTGCGCCCGTCTTCTTCTTCTAATCGGTTCACTACACCAGCTGCAAAATTATTGTACGCCAAGATTTAATTGTTTTACTTGCGTGTGCTCTCTGTTTGGTGCTGGTGTATTGAAGGCTGGGCTGCGCTAGGGCGTCCGCTGTCAGGGGCTGTGGTTGTGAGAGGTTGGATTTTGCGGCATAACATTTCGAGTGTTTACATTAAGAAGAGTAAACATAATTCGCCAGATTCAGGGAATATGTAGTTTTTTTTAGGACAAACAACCCCTCTCCCACCTTGTTTCCCCTTTGTGTACCGCCTCTGGCATTCTTGTGCTCCTCCCCATCTCGGGGGGCGATCATTTTGTCCATCTGTTACGATTCACGTTTACGTCGTTTCTTTCTTCCGCTTCATTACTGCCGGCAGCCCAAAAACACTTGTTACTCCTGCACCCGTATCTCCCTTCTCATCCTTTGCGACCTTGCAGCAGACGAACCGGTTAACCATTCCATTCTGTCTGCTCCTTCTATCGCTGTTCATTCACCCTTTTCTTTGCTGATGTTTTCTTTTGCTTTGGCTTGGCTTGCCTGTGCTTGCGCGGTCGCTGTCGCTGTCGCTGCCTGCTTCTTCGTCAGAGCGGGGTGAGTGATAACGAAAATGCACTGCTGCGCAGAAATTAAATTGCACCGACGAACAATTCAATTAGAGAGTGGGCGAACAAAACAAGAAAACACGAAAGGAAGAATAGAATTGATATTCCGAAAAGGGATACCCTTTATTACGAATTCAATTAAGTGGCGTGAGCAGAAAGCTATCCAAAATGCATGTGTAAACTGAATCGAATAAATATGAATGCATAAATATTGTGGATACCACAGGTATTTCTTCAATTTCTTCAAACAGCGGTCTGGAAATAATTTGAACAATATTCCCCTCAACTAATTGACTATAGGGTACCAATACGTAACCAAAACTAAAGCTTTGCCAAACCCAATTCAAAACGTAGTGATGCAGACCCAGTCGGGAACCCTACTATACACAGCGAGCAGTGAACAATAAACAATTGGCAGTGCATTAAAGTGCACGTAACGTTGAGGAAACTCAATTGAAATTGGCTTTTCTATAAAAAGAAGACAACCTATATTTAAAGAAATTCAAATAGGAGGACTTTAAACTGGGAACACATCAAACAAATAATAAATGCATATTGGTTTATATAAAACTCTATACAAATTTGTTTCCAATACACATCTTCCATTATATAAATAGTAAATACCATAAGCTGGAAAATCAATTCATTATTTTCCGCTGATATTATTTTATTTTATTTTATTTACACATGTACATAAATATGTATGTATAAATGTATCTTCTTTTTATATGAACTAGAATCAAATTTAATGAGCATATTATTTGTTGTCCCATTCATTATATGATTTCGGTTCCATAATTTTGTACTCTTTCACCGGGGAGAGGAGAATTCAATTTTTATTCAGATAACTGAAAATGATTATGGTGATTATGATTATGATTATACATCTTTAAGTCCAATGATGGTACATACATATCGGCCTATAAAGAGTAGGTTAACTAACGATCTTAATTTTTTAAAAACCTTATTTGATAGTGTACTTTAAAGTTCGGCCATCCACAACCTACCCTCTTTTGTACTTATGTATGTAATGTATATAGTTCATTTACTAAAATAACGAAATCCAAAACTGCATTCATTTTAACAATCACAAAATTCAAAATTCCACACAAAAAGAGCTACTACAAAATCCACTGTGAACGTGTGAAAAAGCCACACAGACGCAACTATCAATTTTTCTGCTTTGTTCGTTGCGATGCTTTTTTTCCTCCCTTGGCTGCGAATCAATTTTCGCAGTAATTTGTCGGGCCTGCACTGATGCATAACGCGAAAATTTAATGCTGCATACTTTCCGGCGGCACTTCAACTATGAAGAGAGAGTAGACCAACGCATACACACCACACACCACTGCCACAACCCACACAACCAGAGGCGCCAATTATTGAATATTCCAGGGGCAACATCAGGAGCAGCAGCAGCAGCAGCAGCAGCAGCAGAATCAGCGGGAACAGGAGCAACAGCCATGGGCGAAATAATCCACCAGGGAGTTGGAAGGAAGACGAGGAGGACTTCACCAGCCGCCAGTATCGGAGGCGGCAAACACGTAACGCCATTTTGCGGCGCGTGATAGGAATCCCTAGCAAGGACGTGTGCATATGCCTATCGAGAAGAGTGGAGCAAAGTGAGAAGAGGTACGGAGTTTGGAGGCTGAGAGAACAAACTTAGTTGAGTGGAGGACATAAGTCAGTCCTTCAGCCAGCGTCCCACGCACGTCGTTGCATTTAAGTGCCAAATTACAAGGCGACCACGGGCGCGGACTCCAGATCGGAGGGAGTCCGTGTCCGTCCGTATCCTTGCACATGGCAGTCATCTATAAATCAAACGGTGATGCAATTTATAGCTCTGCCAATTCAATGAGACCCAGGCTGCTGTCTCATCATGACCCATTATTATTATTATTATTACGGGCCCTGACAGACTCGAAAATTAATTAAGTTTGCCTGCAAAAATGCAATCCAGCAAATAGACAAAGGCAGCAGCTGGTTGCCTTATCCTCGGCCTCGCTCTCGCTCTCTCTCTCTCTCTCTCGAGTTCCTCTTGAGCTTGTCCCGGACTCCAGCTCCAGTCCAGTCCAGCCGGTTGCAGTGTGATTGATGTGCCACCGAGCAGCAGCTGACAGCAGTCTGAGCTTGAGTGGGTGATGCACTTTGACACATGACAAAGCATACTGCATGGTAAATCTAACACGGCCAACTGCTGGCCTCGCCTGGGAGGAAATAAAAGCTTTTTGGCCAAAAACACCACATAAGTGGTATTCTTAGGAACGCTTTTGTTTAACTTTCTGAAACAATGTTGGAAATGCCTTTGGAAAATTTACAACAACGAAGAAAGTATCATACGAGTTGAAACAAATTCAGTGTGAACTGAAGATCATTTTCAACAACATTTCGCTTTTAATCAAAATGATATACTTCATTATAAAGTTTATAAAATGAGCTACAAAATTATGGAGATAATTTAATTGGGGTCAATTAATTTTAGCCAAGTTTTTTTTCTATTAGTTATTTTAGATTTAATTTTAAATAAATGTTTTCATTACATATACTTGTCCCAAATGATTGCATAAATCGGTGAGCAAACATAATAAATTCAATTGAATATTCATTCAGACAAAAAAAAACATAAGCCACTTGAGCCTCTGCAAGCCCTAATCACACATGATAGCAATCGGAAAACATTTTTATATAATTATAAATACTAACTAAAATATCAATTACGATGTATGAAAAAAAAGATTTTATCTGAAGTGTTCAATTATTTTATTAACATTGATATTTTCTATTGGCGTGAAAACAGAGTCTATGAAAAACAGAATGACTTGCCGCTATGGAAATGGATTTACAGAGACTCGAGGGAGTTGGAGTTTTAAAGCTTACCTAATTGGCTAGAACTTTTCCAGGCCTCAGTTGAATTTTTACTAGGCAAATGTCATGCCAAAGTTTCTTAAAAGTATACTAAAAGAAAAATGGGAATAAAAAGTTTAGTTGCAAGAGTTGATGGAATTTGATGACTACCAGAGCAGAAGTTATAGATTAAAAAATAGATGCAATTATAGTACAGAAAACTTAGAAAAATCCCTTCTCTAATTCTGTTGAAATGACTTGGATGTAAACTGTAAATGTTAAAGGAAAAATAATAACTAAAAAGCCGAAAATTAAATAAGAACTCATATTAACGATTTTCGATTGTAATTTAGTGGTTCTCTTCACATCAATCATGGTTGTCCATCAATGCAAACGCGTGTTACCACATCTGTTACCAAGCCCTTTAATGGATTATTGAAACAGAGTTTTCCCATATAATTTTACTGTCCAATGTTCTCTCCTCTCCCACACGGTCTTCTCATTGTCAATGCATCTGGCCAGAAGCATTGCATAGTTTACGGCTGCCATAAAGCCAAAGGAGGGAACCTACAGCTGCCCTTAGCTACAAGGATGTGGGCCACCTTTATGGCATTTGCATTACGCATACGCCGTGTCATCGGAGAAATCTTCAAGTTTGTGCTAAGGTCTGCTGCATCCACACAGACACAGTTCACATTTCCTTCTTTGCATTTCTCCATTTTTATTTAAATATCCATAAAACCCCATGTCAGTGTCCACACACCCAACCCCACCATCTGAAAGCCCTTTCTCCTGCCCCCTTTTATGCGTTCTTTTCATGCAATGCAAATCGTTGGAAAAATAGTTTTTTTTTTCATACATTTTTATATGCAACTTTTCTCCCTTTGTTGCTTAAGCATGTAATTTATGTGTGCCTGAGTGTGTGGCAGTGTATGTGCCACAACAATTTGCATATGTGGGGCAGCTCTGCCAACACACACTCACACGCAACCGACGCGTGCCTGTGGCAGGTGGAAAAATTTTTCTATTAGCCACGCATAAAGCTTAATTTATTGGCACTTGCAGCTCGGAATTTTTACTCCCGGCTTGGCCAGGAAGTTGCAATCATTTTTATCCCCAGTCCCTTCTTTCGAGCGGGCAGAAATTTGGTTATCAAAGAAAATTAATAATGCACACACACACTCACACACAGAATATGAAAGAAGTGCTGGGCTCCAGGACCGAAACTTTAGATACCCTGGCTGGTATCCTGGTACCTTTTTTTTATTCTTTTTGATTATATTTTTGTTACTTTCGATAGACGAAATATAGTATAGCATAGTATAGTATAGGTCTTTTCTTCTCTATGCTTATTGCTGTCAAAATTAAAATTCCCTCGACAAGAATAAAAAAAGGGTTCTTTATGCCGTGGCGTCTCTGGCATTTTCACTTTTGCGTGCGATTGCGGAATTTTGTGTTAAATAATGAGTGCAAAATATTTCAAAAGGCTTAACAAGCCATAAAATGACTGAGAAGGGGCCATGTCAACCCGGCTGCCTTCATAGTTTGCTCTCTGGAGTTCAAAGATCCCGGGCTCCACATTATCAAAATTAAATTAAAGCCATTATTAAATTTCATGGCTGAGTGCGAAGACTGAGACTGAGGCTCAAGCCTTGTGGTGTGTTGATGGCCAAATTAATTGCATATCTGATGTGACTCTAAGACTGCTGTGCATGGCCTGGCCCGAATGCTGAGCTCGGGCTGATTGTTGAGACAAGTCTGGCCCGCTCATTCACCAACGACTTTGTTTGCGATTTGAATAGGAAATGGCGCTGTCTGAGGGTGTGAATGCGCCTGACTGGCCAGCTCTCTGATTCCAAATGCCGGGAAATGGAGTGCCCGAATGCGTCACGGATTACCAACAACGATGGCGATGTGATACGAATCGCATTTGAAGATAGGTTCGAATGGTGTTTAATTGAGCTGAATGGGGTTGAAATGGGGCTTTTATTTGGTGAAGCAAAGGTTGAATGCGGCATTGAAGCCAGGTGGAAACGATTTAACTGATTTAGCTGGGTCTTAAATTGAATGCAATGCAGAATTTTCCAATCTAGAATAAGGCTTAAATTGAAATGAGTCAAAGATACCTTCATAGCAGCTCACTTTAATAGTTCCATGGTGGTTGTAGAAGGAGGAATTCAACGATGAGTATGTACGCAGCTTATAAATTCAGTGTACTTTATTTAACTTCCTCCACATTGGGGGTTGGTGCGTCATTAAAAAATCAGAAAAATCACGAAGAATATGTCTAAAACTTAACTATATAAACATATATTCCTTACACATTATGTACCGCAGTAGGCCACGGTTACAACTGGTTCATTAGTTTGCCCGGCAGCTCCCCGAGTTCCTTTGGTTTGCTCTTTTAGGATGAGAATGAAACGGGAGCCTAAAGCCTAAGCTTAGCCAGAAGTCATCACTGCTCCGTCTCCAGCCTTATCCCTCGTGGAGCTCGTAAACAAATGCGCACCTCAAATTTGTAAAGATTAGCAGACAATTCGCACACAGTCAACGCTGCCATCTCTGCCAATCTCCCGGACCTAGGACCCTCTCCGACAGCATGGGAGTGAGAATAGGCACAGAAATGGGGGATGGCGTAAGGAGGACAAACAGAAACAGGGACCCGGACACGGCCATGGACACGGACACGGACAGGGACAGGGACAGGTTCGAGGTAACCGCCTTGTCTAATCTAATAGCTGCCGGCTGACAAACATTGACATTTTCTGTTATGTAATCAGACGCCCAAAGGTATGCCCAAAAAACACAAAGAACACGTGCCCAACACACTCCAAAAGCCGAAGAAAAACCGGCAACGGCAGAGGGAAAACGCAATAAATTGTCGCATAAAAATTGATGTTTTATTTTCAGTTGCCTTCGTCTCTCATTCTGCTCGTACTCCAGGATTTTTTGGTTACTTTGCTCTTGTGATACCCTTCAAGAAGGTAGGCGATTTCCAAACAGATGTTGCTCGAAATTTTATAATATAATAGATACCTTAATAGGTAAAGATGTACATACATTAATGATTAAAATCAGGATCCGCTCTATCCGTCCGTGTGATTGGATATCCTAACCAAGTTCCACTTCGAAAAAATATTACTGACAATTTGTATATTGACCATAGCAAGGTTTATATCTGTAAATTCTATATCATTTTCGATACTTTCTATGTATCGCAATCAACCTAAAAGGGTATCATAATGTTCGGCACCAAGCTAGCCGTTCTTTCGTTTTATTTTTGGGTCCCGTTGTTCTCTTTTTCCTTTACCTTTTACCATGCAAAACGTGCATGGAAATCGCAAAATTTTCTTTTTGTTTTTGGTTAGCCGAAACATAAACAAAGTAAGCCAAGTAGAAAGTTGCTGGGGGGGAAGAATGCTTCAGGGATTGTACATGGTCGTGTCTATGTCTTAAAGCTGTCGAATTGGGTCTACCCTAGATCTCTATCTAAGCTGATAAGTTAAGGAACTGGCAGTGATTGAAATTACATTTGGGGCTATATTTTGGCACATTTTTATTTGATGTAGTGTTTGAATGAAGACTAAATGGTGGACAAAGATGATGAGCAAATCTGAATTCGCCTCAAATTCAATTAAACTGAAGTGTTCCAGAAATCTCTAGAAATTTGGGGGACATCAGATTTAATTTAAATTGAATAATTGTACAAATTTTAAATATATTTATTTATTATATTCAATTATTTGTATATATGTAAGTCCATAAAAATAAATAATAAAGTTTTTACGAATACGTAAAGTTTTAATGGCTTCGCTTTTCGGCTGTTAGTGATTTTTGGAACACATTAATACATTCCTTGCAAAGTAATCTTCTTGGATATTTTATAAGACAATGATTTATGATCCCTAAAAATTGAAAGGAATGGTTTATCTTTTCCGTGCTGAACTATTTTCGATAAGGTGGTTAAAGAAATAGTTTTAGCCACTTATTAGGTTCAAACTTTTCCTATTTTGGACATTCAGAAAATGATCCTTGTTGGCTCGTCGATTCGTTTTGCCATTCCCACTTCGCTTCAGATCATCTACAATGATGACTCCAGCATTCAACTGCTTATACTTGGTGGAAATATGTTTCTTTACATAGTCCAAAATATCCTGGGCCACCAATTCGGTGCCGTACCTCTTCACCACTGAGGCTGCGGCCTCGTCGCCATTGACCTCATCCCAAATGCCAAATACACAGACCTCGGCAACGTTCGGCATCTGGGAGATGACTGTCTCTATCTCGTTGGGATAGTACATAATGTTTTGGTACTTGAGCATGTCCTTTTTGCGATCAACTATAAATAAGAAGCCATCTTCATCAACGTAGCCCAAATCTCCGGAGTGAAACCACATCTGGGAGTCGCGAATCATTCGCGTCTCTTCTGGATTTCCATAATAGCCAGACCAATGCTGGCCATTGAAGAGGCACACTTCACCCTCTTCATTGGGGCCCAGAGCCACACCCTGTTCATTGATTATCTTGACCTTATTCCCAGATATAGGTCGACCGACTGAGTTGGGTTTTTCATCAAAGTGAAGGTTCAGCGTGCTTGCGCTGTTCATCTCTGTTATGGAATAGGTAAAGATCATATTTCCGTTGATTCGGCTACGAATACGCTTCTGAACTTCCAAAGAGCTTGGGGAGCCACCAAAAATATAATTCTCTATGCTCGACAGGTCAGCCTTTTCGAATTCCGGACAGTTAGCCAACATTGCCATGTGGGAAGGACACTGAAAGACTAAACCGATATTATATTCTAGGATCATACGACACGTGAAGGCGGGATCAAAATCATTGTCAGCAATAACATTTGTTTTGTTGAACACTCCAGCGAGGATGATGGTTAAAAGACCTGAAATCCAGTCTAGGGTGCTGTGTGCATATTGCACATCATTAGAGGTCATACGACTGTGAAAAATGAGAATATATAAGATGGTAATAGTCTTTATAGCGGGTTTCATTCAAGTCTAACTTACAAAACAGGCAATAAAAGCCGTTGACTGTCTTTAATCGTTACTGCTTTTGGTACCCCAGTGGTGCCGGAGGAGCAGAGAATGGCCAAAGTCTGATCGTGGCAAGGTTCCAAGCGAGCGGGCTGAAAGTTTTCCTCTATTGGTGTGGTCAGGATATCCAAAATGCAAAGGGATCCTATGGGATGATTTCGCAAGGTAATGATTGTGGTGTCCAGCTTGAGGTTTTCGGTAGCTGCCAGAACTCTCTGGTACTCATCCCCATCGCAGAAGATTAGACGCGGTCTGCTGATGCTGAACAGTTTCTCTATGGTGTCCTGTTCATAAGCAATGTTTAGGGAGTGGAATGGCACACCATTGAAGAAACAGCCGTAGGCTACGGCCACCAGGTGCGTGGTATTCCTGGCTATGAGGCCCACAATATCCGTTTGCTTTAGGCCCAGTCCCCGCATATAGCTAGCCACTCGCATTGCATTGAAACGTACCTCTTCCCGGGTCAGCACAGTCTTCTCAGTGGCTGAGATCTAGAAGGTTAGGTATTGCAATTGCAATAATATTTCTCGTTAAATAAATGAAGCAGCTTACTTGGGCAATCAGCTTCGGATGGCTTTCCAGCTCCCGAAAGATGATCTCCCCAATCGATAGGTGCGGTTCAAAGCAGTTCAAGCTTTCGCCTCCACTCCAGACCTTGATATTGTCATCGTAGGTGATATGCGGCTTGTACGGCATTTTGCGATCTATCAGTGGTTTTATGTGTAACTAACTGTTGATGATTCGTCGCCTGCTGGCCTCTTTTATAGAAGCAGCCACACGAGTTTCGGAACAAACAGAAGATAAGCACGCCAACATAAGATAAGCACAACGCGTGGGTATATTCTTGCAAAACTAAGACTCTGGTATCAAGTAAATGCATTAAAATATATATCTAAGTTTACAACTTTTCTTTATATTTTGATTGCCTGAAATTCAGGTGGAACAGATGGAAGACTTATCAGTCGTGAGTCTCTATTTATAAAAGTTGAGAGTCACTGAACGCGAATGAAATGTCAGAGTTCAATAGTCAATTCAATTCAATTCAATTCAATTCGTCCTACTAAAAAGATTTCGATGTGCAATAATTATAGACCTCCTATTCTCGAAACATTTCTTAGCCCTGATTTTAAATGAATGCCAAAAAGTATTCAATGAAAAATTAAAAGAGTTCAAGATAATGTTAATGTTTTTATTGTCTTTTCATCGCTGCTTCTTCTCTCGCTGCCCATCTGCCCACTCGTGTTCATCTGTTCGTCAATGCCTTGGGCAGCTGATTCGGTCCCAGAATCCAACAAGAATATACACAGTCTTGAGCGAGGTACAGAAAAGACTTACTTTTTGGTCCGAAAAATCTAATAACAAACACACAATTATTGGTGACACAAAAAAAAAACACAACATGAATTCCTTATCAATGCTCATCTTTTACATAACCTTTAACTACTAATAAACCCATCAGAAATGGAAGATAGATATCCCCAAACTGTTTCCTCCATTACTCCAGACCATTACCAAGTACTATAGTATTAAAAAAAAAACCCCCCGCATAAGAAACGTTCTCAAAACCACTCCATCCCAATTCGCAGCCACCACAAAATTTCAATGTTTGGCAATGTTTTACGTGAGAAATGGGCGTGTGTCTATGCAAAATCCAGTCAAAGCTTACACGGCCATGATTATTTGATGTCAAGCTCTGGGGTTATTTATAGGCAGCTGACATGACTATCTCCTGCGCAAGACGCACCCTGGATAATGTATAGTTTGAGGCGCCGTAAATAGTCTCCAAAGAATTTGCTTATGCAGAGTCAGAGAGTGAAGGAGAGACTGAGGGGCAGGTGGAAAATTAATATTTGCCACGTGTACAGCCTGAGATGTGTTAAGCGCTGGCCGCCTCCGGGCTCAAGACACGTGAAAAATGCCGAATAATCCATTACGAGTATGTTGAATGGAAGACCGACAAGTGGCTCTTATCGTCAGACAGCCCATGGAGAACGCAGAGCCTTTGCCGAGAGGTGTGGCCGGCCAAAGTTAAGAACTTCAGTCTCTTCTCAGTCACTGCACTTGACATGGCTGAACAGCAGCAGAGAGCGGACTTTTGTACCTGGGACCTGGTTGTGACCATGGACTGGCCATAAATATGCCCCAAATGTCAGTCAAATGGTGTCTACTTTCCTACTGCATAAACTGTGGCGCTGCCCAAGGAACAATGTAAAAGTTTATGGACTTGAAATGGTTGGGGACTGGGCTTGAACGGAAAGAAGACAATGAGTTAAACTGATTGATTTCTTGGAAGTATGGGTATTTTGTGATCTATGGTTAAAGTTTACCATGCATTGGAAATTAAGTTTGAAAAGATGCGTGGATTCTGGGGCCATTTTTCCCATTAACCATTAGATATTTACTCTATGTTATAGGTTTTAAGCCACGAATATTCAATACTTCACAAATAATTTGCCAAAACCTTTATCTTTCAATTTCCTAGCCCTCCCATAAGGCAACTTATGTTCTAAATAAACACTTGCGGGTATTAAAGAAAGCTTTCTATTTATCCCACATGTCAATTCAATTTATGATGAACCCTCGTAGCACCAGACTGAAATTGGTTTATCAAAACATCAAGCAAACAGTTGATAAACCCACGAGCTCATTCTCCATAGCCATGCAACCCCAAACTTAACTCAAATATTATGGCTGACTTTTTGCCATACGAACACCAACGGCGTGTCATCACCCCAGGAGATACAGATACAGACAGAGCAAAAGAGATAGGGAGAGTGTGAAAGAAAGACAGAGAGAGAGAGAGAGTTGGAGATGTTGGAGAAGGTAACGCGATAGCGAAGCGGAAATTTGAGCAATGCAGCTAAATTGCGTTTAACCAAGCAAGCGAGCAAACTCAAACTAAAGGCATTGGAGAGACCCAGACCCAGACCCAGACCAGAACGCCCAAAAACCCAAAAACCCATCCGCAGCCGAATCCGAATCCGAACCCGGACACGGAGGAGGCCCGGCCCACCTTCGAGAGAAGACAAACTGCGCGTTAAAAACATAAATTCTTGATTGCAATAGACGTCGACAATGTTGTCACCGCCACCGCCGACCCCAACGCGTGGGGGGCATCATCATCATCATTTTGATGTCTTCTCCTCATGAAGTTGCGCCATATTTCACTCAAGGCTAGCATTTCAAAAGGAGCACACGCCCACAGACCCCTCAGCGAAATGGCGTTGACCAAAAGTAACAAAAGGAACACGTGACATCTGCGGTACATAAATAAAGCGAATGCGAGAGGGGAACCAATGTAAATTATTGCACGGAAGGACCTTACATTTGGGGTCACCATTAAGAGAGTAACCTATTTATAGAGCAACCCAATCCAAAGACACCCTGCCAATCAATGAGTTGCCCATTCCAGACAACGTCTTACATTTCTCCGAATTTAGGCAAATTAAGTGCTTAAATTTCAATTAAAACTTGTACTTGAACTTCTTCCTCCGGAGCTGAACGTCTTCCATCTCATTAATGCTAAATATCTGCGATACTTTATAGTAATTAGGAAGAGTCAAATTGAATTGGCATTAGAGACCCTGCTAAGCGGGAGGGCCCATTGCTATAAAAAGCAAATGTTATTAGGGTTAGACTTGGCAACCAATTTGCCGGGGGAGCAGGCAATTTGCTGGGAATGAGATACGGAAACAGGTTGAAGATCCATTTGGAATCTAAAAACTTTCATAAGCACATTATCCTTCATGGAAGATATTTCTAAAAATGTGTTGCCCGCATAAATAGCCCAAAACGAGGGGGAACATTGTGAGTCGCAGCTACAGTCGCGACTCTACATTTATACACGATACTCAGTCAGTATGTCTCCGGCAAAAGGCGCAGACATTTCACGAGTAAGCGTGTGTGAGAGAGAGGCAGAAATTGAGTAAGCGCAAGGACGTACTACGCATTTGTAAACAGTGCGATAACACAGGAGTCTGGACACAAAATTTGGTTGCTCTAGCTCTTATAGTCTCTGGGAACTATACTTCGGTCGGAAATGCTTCCTTCTGGGCGTTACATACTCTTTACCCACAATTCGAATACACCCGAATACTCATTTTAACCGGGTATAAAAATGATGGGCAAAAACAACATGGTTTGCTAGCTAAATGTTATCTTACAGGAGATTCAAAAGTTGAAATTGCATACCATCGACTGCTACATAAAAGCTTAAAATTATTGAGATTTAGACCACTTTCGGAATGGAATAATTTATTTTTGGGCTTACAATACGAAATGGTTGAAGCGTTCAGGATACGTGGGAAGCTTTGGCAAAGCGATACAAAATTATAGTCTATGTTCTATTATTTCTGGTGGTATACATCATTTCAAGTAAGGAAAAACCTACTCGAAAATTGATAGGTATTTCTGTATGGATTGAAATCTCTTTGAACTATCAAAGCAATTATTACACATCATATCCATAACTTTTAAAGATTATACCATTCAGGAAATCGACTTTCAAGTTAATACGCACATTATTTATCCAGATAAATTGTTAAATTTAAAAAAGAGGAAAGTATTAAAAAAGTTCAACGATTTCTTGTATTGGTCAGTGGCTTGGAAGACGGAAAGTATTTCTGTAAGCCCCTCCCCCCCACCAAAAATATCTCGAAATACTCGTACAATACAATTTGATTTCCATTTACGTTTGGATCTCTGGCTTTGATTGCCGTTGACCTACTTGCTGCCTGATTACCCAAAAGCAAAAACACACTCCACCCCGCACTCCACTTGCCTTACCGCACAGAAGGAGGTAGAATTCTCCTGCATGTGGCATATTTTGCATAACTTGAGGCGCATGCCGCATTCTTGGCTGGCAAATAACTTTGCATACTTTTTGGTGGCGCCAGCGGTATTCAGGCCGACTTTGCCTTGATTTATGCAGCAAACACTCTCGATTAATTGGCCACAGAGCTCTCTGCTTATTGCACACATGATAAAGGCTTGTGCGAAGGTATAGTATCCTTTTATTCCCCGAAAAAGTAAACACAACTATTTCATTAATTTGTGGTCCCAGACGTCTCTAAACCGTGTGCTTGTTTGTCTTCGAGTTTAGTTTTAATCGCATTTGTTTGACATCGCTCTCTCTGTGTCTCTCCATCTTTGGATGCCATCTGGCTTTCTGGCTTAAGTCAATATTTTGGTTATAAATCTAAATTTCCTTCAAATATGTTAAGATTAGAAAGGAAAACCACTGGGACTACTCATCATTTATGTTAATTATAAATGTGCAGGGAAAACCATTTAACAAACTGGAAACTTTAAATAATCTAGATGTCCACAGGTTAATATTGAGTTTGGAAATGAATATTTAATTCACATAATAATAGAAATAAGTGAATTTAGATTTCAAATGCATTCGTTTTTCTGTGCTTCTTGGGGTACTTTATTTTAAATATTTCTTTATATTTAAGTACCCGTTAGCTTATTCCCTTTCTGCTAAATTTCGATATCATCGCGTATGCACAAACATTTCATTACATTTTCCACCGTTTGCAATTTATCCCCGTGGCAATTTTATATATTTTATATATGTATGTATTTCGGTTGGTCTTCGTTTAACCAATCTTTTCCTCTCTCTCTCGAAAACAAGTCAAGCGGTAGCTACCAGGCTGTCAACCGCACAGATACAGGATGCGGAGCTCAGACTC